TCTGTAGTTTCCAGYATTTGTTTTAATGGCTTTACAGAAAAACAAATAATTAAATAATTTAGGGGAGAAAGACCCATTATTATTTATCTTTGTCTGATATTAATAATTGTTTAATTATCTGAAATTTGTGTCACAAAAAAGGCAAAACAAAGAAAATCTGTGAGGGGAGAACAGTTTTTCTTTTACATGATGTACCCATGAAAACAATCCTACAGAGTAGACTGGGATAAATCTTGCAGGACCTGGAAAATAAATTTGACAGCTGGTATATGATCAGTGAAATGTTAAAAGAAGAACCCATAACCCAAGAGGCTCCTCTTTGGTTTCCCTGCCCTCTGGACTTGCAACGTGAGAGTCAAAGAGGATTTAAATGAAATGATTTTATTAGTGTCAGCAGGCCAGCAGAAGGCTGCTGACGAGGTGAGGATGCTGAAATGTGCTCCCCATTGATAGCTGATAACCAGGGACAGACCAAATCTGCAGGCCAAGAAAACACGACTGGGAGGAAGGGGAGGCAGAGATCCAAGTCTATTTCTGTTTCAGATTAAAAGAAAGTGGTCTGAGAAAAGGGGATTAAGGGCAGAGGGGACTTAATATTGGGTGAATATCTGTCTGGGTGGACTGATACACTCTGGAAGTTTAATTAAATTCATTCTGGATCAGAAAGGGACAGTTTTATCCTCGAACTGTCCTTGAGCTCTGGGAGAAACAAAATGTAAAATGTGTAAACATCCCCATCTGCTGTTTTTGCTGATGCAATTGCAGTAATCCAAGATGTTAAATGGCTTGTTAAAATAAATGTATTCTGTTATGGGGTGTGTTTTTTTCCCTTCGAAAATTTCTTTAAAAAATACCCATATATACATGTATTTATATATACACATATACTACCTCTCAGTCCAGTCCTTTTGAGACTAAAAATACCTTTTGAGGAAATGGATTTTCAGATGCCAAGGAAACTACACTGAGCTTCTGCTTCACAGCCAATTTCAAGGCATTTAGAAACGGATATTTGATTTGATTTATGATTTATTCCAGACATGTCAAATTCATTACATAAAGCATAGTCTGAATCTACATATCGCAATATACCCTTTCGCATTTCTACAAAAAAAATGAAACCACTTAGACTAATCGTACACAAATAACCCATAAAATAAAAATACACCCAATGTGCACACACACCTATCTGTGTACACCTACCCAAGTACATAAACTCACATGAAGCACATAAATCCCATTAACATGTCTGAAAAGGGGTAGGAAGAAGTAAAACATTTAATCCTACCCCTATTCACCACTTCATCTGGTTTTCAGAGTCTTATCAGTTTGTGATGAAAATAWAACAAACAAAAAATATACACATTTAAAGGAGATCCAACCACCACTCCAATACAACAAAATTAATCCACATACCTAACCCCATATAGATTACACAGTCATATATACAATCCTATATACAGCATTGAGACACACATTTTAAGTTTACCTCGAAATATCATTCCTATACTTGTCAAAAATCATTAGTTTGAGACTTTTCTTAAACAAACTCATGTTTGGACATTGTTTCAGTTCTTGATTGAATATATTCCAGACTCATACACCACAGACTGAGGTGCACATTCTTTTCATAGTTGTTTGAACACTCCTGGTTCTGAAATTAAAGTTTCCCCTGACATCATAACCCCCCAACTCTATCCATAAAAGGTTTCTGTATATTATCTGGTAGTTGTTTGTTCCTAGCTTTATACATCACTTGAGCTGTTTTAAATTCAACCAGGTCTAAGAGTTTGAACAAGCAGGATTTGGTAAATAACTCAGCCTACCTTTTGAACCATTCTGATGGCTCTTTTCTGGAGAATGCACAACGGTCTGAGTGAGGATTTGTAGGTGTTTCCCCAGACTTCCACACAATAATTCAAATATGTCAAAATAAGTGAACAATATACACTATGCAAAGCTTTATTATTTAAAAAATATCNCCCCCCCCTCCCGTGTCGACGGTAATGTGTGATTGGTCTGAAGTTCGTGGGCGTGTTTGTTTGTGCTGCGCTCAGGGGGAAAAAAGAAAAAATAACGACTCGCTCCCATACTAAAAAGCAGAGCTTTATAAGATAGTCAAACCGTGAAAAACTTATGGCTTGTTTGTTTGTGCTGAAAGCGCTGCTGCACTCGGTAAAAAAAAGGGGGGGGGGGACCCAACTCGCTCCGAGGACCGACACCATGAAGTAGAGTTTTATCGTGAAAAACTCATGAATTGAGATAAAACAGACGTTGTGCATGGAAGAATCTSACTGATAAAAACTGTGTAGCTAAACCAGGACAGATGTGGATAAATACGTCGAGTGAGTGACAAGTCTTTTTTCTGCATTGTCAGCTGTTGTGGGGAGAAATTCCATGCAGTGACATATGGTTCAGTAATAGGGGGGTTTCCCAGGCTCGGCGCGAGGTGTCTCAGGGACTATGAAAGGTCTGTGCAAAAACGACTGCCGAACAACAAAGTGATCGCGCGTCGACCCGTTGGCATCAGAGCGAGTCTGTTTCAGGCATAACACCATAGGCCGATTGAGTATTGAGCTCCAACGTTTATACTTTTTTTAAAAAGGTGCTCCGATTGTAAAGTAAAATAAATCAATACATRCAAAATTATAGTATGGATTACAAACATTAACTATTTTTGCTATTGCCTTCCTGCTATGTAAGCAGGCACAAAGCATTGTGGGAAATCAGAACTGTGGCCGAAAGCAACAGTCCGCAACAATGTATACCTTTCCAGTGTATTTATCTGGGAGGGGTGCTGTTGGATAGGTCACGTGTGTTGTGATTCACCTACAGTCATACACTCCGCTGTTCAAGATAATGATGACTGGTAGATAATTAGTTATTAGC